CACAGTACTGGTTTTTACTATAGTGTATAATCTGTCCCTACATCGGATCCACCTACGATGTCAACCTTCTTTGTGATTTTTGTGTCACTGTCAAGTATTCTCTCTGCACACTTCACAGCCCGTTCTTATCCCCAGGTTTGCAAACACAGAAGCGAGTGGCTGTATTCAATATGGTGTGCAATCTGCAACCTCAACACTAATGTCACTAAATCCTTCACACTGGTCGTTTAAAACTCAGATAAGTTTAAAACCTTAATTTCAAATAAGAATTGGTCAAATACAATAAGATATCGTTAATAGAACATTGTTTTGATACTCAAGTTTTAAAAAATAAAAATCTCAAGAAGTCAAGAGGAGAGCGGGATGAAGAGTTGGTCTGTTCTTCATTTGTAGAAAGAAGTAGACGAGACGCTGCTGACGAATGTATGGATAGAGCACGTAAGTAAATCAGTCACTTACTCATTCACTTTACGCTGCAGGCAACATTAATATATATTTCCAGTAACTGTGTGTGTGTGTGTGTGGTGACAGACGTGGACTGACTACCGGCTGTCGTGGAATATGACAGAGTTTGACGGCATCGAGGTGCTTCGTCTGCCGCCCAACATGGTGTGGCTGCCGGAGATTGTGCTGGAGAACAAGTGAGATTCCAACCTCCTGTCATACAGCTCTGACACAATAACATTTATTATTTAGAGATTAGAGCTGGAAGTAAGGTTTGAAAACCTACAATAATCCCTTTTGTCTGTAATGTTTCATAGCAAAAGAAACTAAAGAGACACAAGGCAAAACTATAGAGTCGGGGTCGACAGTGCTTCCTTATCAAGGTTCAGTCCTGGGTCCTATTCTTTTTGCTTTGGATGTGCCTCCCTTCAGACAGTTATAAGACACTTTAAAGCTTCCCAGAAACTGGGAGATTTTAATTGGGTCACAAATAAATGTGCAAAATGTCTTCCTCCTGCTAAATGCACCTATTTTATCTCATTTATAAGGTACTTAAAATGTGTATAGTTTTACTGATGATCTTGAGAAACACTGCTTGAAAGGAATCTCCTGTCAATGCCACGTAGATGATATTCAACTATACATTTCATTTAATTACCTGCCTGAACTCTTTAACGATTGTAAATAATCTCCTACAGTTCAATGCTGACAAACAGAAGTTCATTAGACAAAACAATCTCACCTCTAGGTTCATTTAATAGCTGTTCTGGAGCTTTCGATCATATCGTATGAGCTTCATCAGCAGATCGAAAGTCTCAGAACAGCTGCTAAACTGACCTTGATAGTGGAACCTCTCGTGTATGTGTGTGTGTTTTGTAATCCTAACCTGCCTTCTCTCTCCACCAGTAACGACGCCCAGTTCCAGGTGGCCTACTACTCCAACGTACTGGTGGATTCTACTGGTCTCTGCTACTGGTTGCCTCCCGCTATCTTCCGCTCCTCCTGCTCCATCAACGTCAACTACTTCCCCTTCGACTGGCAGAACTGCACGCTCAAATTCACGTAAGGTCAACTATATTTAAAAAAAACCACGAATAATCACATGATAGTTTAGTCCAACTGTCATTTTGTTTATGTGTCTATTTGAATCTTTATTTAAAGCATCATGGCCTTTCTTGATCTTCTCCCTCTGTGTTAACTCCATTTCCCGTGTTGCTTTACAGCTCTCTGACCTACAATGCTAAAGAGATCAGGATGTTGCTGAAGGAAGACGCGGATGAAACCAGCAAATGGACGGTGGAGTGGATCATCATCGACCCTGCTAGCTTTACGGGTAATCATCCTCCCCAATCTCTCTCACACAGTTACAGGTTGAGCATAGGGATTAGTGAAAATCTACTAAACCCAGTTTAACTATCTAAACCACTGCTTCCCCTACCTTTTTTCCTTAAGGGACCCTCATTGACGACCCCTCACTAAATTAACACATTTTGTGGATAATTTATATTACATTCAGTGCATAACAAGAGAACAATTGATGTAAAAAGTGAACACAATAACTGCAGGAAGTTTGTGTAAAAACAATGATTTGTATGAATTTCAAGATTATTCCCTGTGAATGTTGATCAGAAATTATATTTTTTTAGAACTTTTATTACAATCTTCTCTCTTTTTCATGTTTTTAAAAAAAAATAATTTTAACAATCATACATATTTAATGAGCTTCTTTTTTTGGGGACAAATTCAGTGTTTTTTTCTCCCTGATGCTTTTTCTATTAGCTCTTTGGTTGTGATAACTGCATAGTTTTTTTACTTTAATGAGATATAGGCCTACTGTGTATATTTTTTTAAAGTTTTCCTACTCGCCCCCCATGAAGTTTTGGTGACCCCTCAAGGTAGCGAACCACTGATCTAAACCTCATTCTCCGTCTGTTTCTTGTCCTCTGTGTTGTTCCTCGCTGACAGAGAATGGCGAGTGGGAAATCATCCACCGGCCGGCCAAGAGAAACACCTACAAGCACGTTCCCATGGAGAGCAACAAGCACCAGGATATTACCTTCTACCTGACCATCAAACGCAAACCTCTCTTCTACATCGTCAACATCATCATCCCCTGTGTGCTCATCTCCTTCCTGGCCTCGCTCGTCTACTACCTGCCCGCTGACAGTCAGTGCACTTTCACCTCCTTAAACATAAAGAAAAGTAACATTTCAGCATTAAAATGTATTTAAACTCTTGGACAAATGTTTCCAACAAAATTCAAACTCAGAGAAATCTGTCATTTTATTCAGGTAACGCTGCATTTTCACCGGTCGCCTGTCAATGACGTCATATCCCCTTTGTGCATGC